CTTCTTCACCGCACTTCCCGAGTGCGGGTGGGCTAAACCACGTGCCGAGCCGCTCCCTCGTTACTCTTAAGGTACAACCACCTGTTTCCAAGCCCTGTTCAACCACTAGCGATCTTCTTATTCAATGAAACTAAAAATAAAGTAAAAATTAGGCCAATTGAAATTTACTAGCCAGAGGTAATAGAAGTTATTTTTCTTTTATTTGTCCAACGCTGGATCTTCATTGATGCGGTTATGTCATGTACTTCCAGGGCATTCAGACGTTTCGTTCGCATTTTAAAAGGATTTGGACAATTCGGATTGACAAGGATATTCCCCACTAACACCGAATGCAAAAATTGCCATCATCAAGAGTCGAAAAACTACACAACAGTTTTTCCACACACCTTCACAGCTAAAGGTGATAGTATGTCACGTGTACCCTGTGGAAGATTGCGTGAAGGGGCTCCAGGGTTATATATTCAAATTACCATACACGTAACATGACACCAAGTTACACGTAGCCTGCGTGGCAGGCGTTCGAAAAAAGGAAGGGGAAGGGAATGAGGGGCGAGACGACGCGCATTTAATTGATTCTGACCAATCACTATTTTAACGCTCAGAATCTGAGCGTGAAAAATGGAGAAAACAATGGCGTCCTTGCAGGCGTTCCTTTCCTTTCTTATTCGCGCACCCAAATTCCCCCTTTCCCTTCCCCTTTTAACGCCTGCCACGCAGGCTAAGTTACACGTCTCTTTTAGGAACTAACTTTTACAAGCCGCAACCTTTTTACCAAAAAAAAAAAAACAGCGGAATGTTGAAATTTCAGTTATTTGCTATAAGTTTTTAAGTCACGTTACGAAGGTGAGTTGCAGAGCCTTGCGTCACGACAGAAAAAAATGGACACTGAAAGGTAACTCATTTTGTAGGAGTGTCATTTGTAATCATGATTCCGACTTCTTGTTATGTTCATTTTTACTAAAGTTCATCTATCATCTGGCATATTAAGCCTTTTGGAGTTGACCAGCCGGAAGCATTTTCACTTCCGAGTTCGGAATTAAATGGTCACCCGACGCGATTCTCAGTTGCTCGTTTTTCAGGATTTTTTTTTTTTTTATATTTTCAACGGAAAATGTCGCCTTTTTGGCTTTTCAGATAGCAATACCTATTTAGATACCGAAATTTCCATCATTTCCTTGCGCTTTGGTGGGCTAGAAATAACTTTGGTGTGATTTTCTCCTTTGTTTACACGGTTTCTGCTTTGTTTACATTTCACGTTCTTGTCGCTTACGGTGGCCCGAGGGGCTATATTCAAAATTTTATTTTTCGCAAGCGTTTAAATTCGCAGAGCTGAAACTTCAGGTCTAGTTAAAAGAATCATAGTTCTTTCATATAGTATAATCATACTTTAAATTTGAGACATACCAGAGCTTACCAGAATCGACTTTTTACGGTTAAAGTTGGGCGTTATTTCGAACGCCAAAACAGCACACAATCAAGGTGCAAACAATGAAAGCCCAAAACTATATTACAAAAGTTATTTTGCCAGACATTTTTATGCAGGCTTAAAGCTTTGGGTAACTGGCAAATGCATGTGCAAGATCAAGACAATAGGAGCTTTTGCGCTCTTGTACTGCTTTCTTGAAAATTGTTGAAATCTGCTTGTAGCAGCAATTTCGCGAATAAAAATGTATTTTTATCAAATTTTTGAACTTTTCCCGTTTCTCAAAATGTAAAGCGCTTGAGGATTTCTTGATACCACTTCTTGAAATAGTTCACCTAAAGGGTTGTTTGGGTGGTATTAGCCAAAAGTCGAATTTTTAGAACTGATTTGAGATTCTCGATATTTTCTTCCGACATTGGCTCTTAACGCAAATAATAAATATGACTCTTCTGCACAGCCTTTTTTTAAAAGTCTTCACGCAACGCAGACACTAAAAACGGCTGTGTAGCAGACTACTATGAGTACGGACATGTATGCATAATAAATCAGTGAAAGGGCTGAGATGAAATCCTTACAGTCCCCTGCGAACTGAAAGATCATAGACAACACGGCTTATTAAAAAGAGACAATTTGCGTTGACAAAAGTTTCCGCGAGATAAATCAACAAATGCCGTTCTAAGGTAAAGGAACCGTGTAGTTGTAGTATAACTTAAGCTAATGCAATGCCTACCACCTACCTCCGTTATAAATTCCCGAGTAGTCTTGATAGTTCGCTTGATTTCTCACGACGAAAAAGTCTACGAAGAAGTCATATTTCGCAAAACAAGTCAGTATAAAAGTCAATTGCATTTTCCTTCACAAAATAACCGGACTTACACAAAACTTACCTATAGGCAAAAATCAACCCTTCTACCAAGAAGAAATTAAACATATGGGATTTTTCCTTCCTTAAGCTTTCACTTTCATTTTGATCAAATTACGTCAATAAAAGTGACGTAAGTGCTTCCAGAAATAGCTCTCGAAATGCAGCCATCCAATGAAAATTTGAAAATAATATAATAAAGCATATGAGGGATTAGCCTGAGGAAGTAAAAACGACTCAAAGCAATCGTCTGTAATTCCGGATAATGAGGGGTCAAATTAAATCTGATATACAGTTAAGTCTTTTGGTGATAAGCTTTCCTTGCCAGCCAGATGTTTCACTCACTGTTTCGGATCCCACGACAGAACTCTCGCCTGCTACTATTTTTGCAACCGTTTACGTGCTGCGAAGCAATACGTCACGTGATTAGTGTCGAATCATGTCTGAAAATCCGGTAGCAATGAAATCAGCAGAAATAAAGGTAGCCGCTCAATAGAGGTTTAATTTCCCATTCTTTTCTACAAGTATTTCGGAACTTTGATTACTGGACGCTTGATGGAGGTTCAACTGTATACAGAGTGGGATGATAACCATGTATGCATAAAAAAAATCAGTGAAAGGGCTGAGAGGAAATCCTACATGATGGGTACTATCGTTTTCGCGAGATAAATAACGAAATGCGCGCCGTTCTAAGGTAAAGGAACCGAGGAGTTCTAGTATAACTTCAGCTAATGTAATGCCTACCTCAGTCATAAATTCCCGAGTACTCTTGATAGTTCGCTTGATTTGTCACGACGAAAAAGTCTACGAGAAAAACATATTTTGCAAAGCAAGTCAGCATAAAAGTCAATTACATTTTCCTTCACATGATAACCGGATTTTCACAAAACGTACCTATAAGCATCAATCAACCCTTCTACCAAGAAGAAATTAAACCTATGGGATTTTTCCCTTCCTTTAGCTTTCAGTTTCAACAAAAGTGACGTAAGTGCTTCCAGAAATTGCTCCCGAAGTGCAGCCATCCATGAATAAAAGCAAGAGGTTAGCCCGAATTTCTTGACGATTACTTCGACTCGAAGCAATCGTCTTAAATTCAGGCTAAAGAGTGGTCAAATTAAGTCAAATACGTACAGTTATTGATACGCTATGGCTATATGCTCGGCAGCCGGGAAGGGTCTTTAAAAAACTATAAATGCCCGGCAGTCAGAAAATTTTCTAGAAATTCTGCAAAATGCCTTTTTCTAGTACTTTCTAATCGTCTGAAAGTATTACATCTTCATTTAGAATTACCAAGCGATCAGGAAAACAAGAATGGCTTGGCAGATGAGTGGTTGTGGTTTCTCGGGCATAGAGTAGTTTCGACGCTTTAAATTAGGGTCAGATATAATTATTATGCTCGAAAATTTGAGCAAAATGGCTAATATGCATGTATTCTGGAGCTTAAGAGAAGGCGTTTTCACTTTCTAGGTTCGTTTTGAGACTGGTGGGTATTTAGCTTCTTTGAAATCGTGGCCGTGAGTAACGCCCGGCTTATTCTATTCTGCGAAACGAAATATATTGGGAAGAGAGAAAAAATACTTATTATCACTGACGCGCTGCTACTCACGAAATTATTCCTAGGCTAATTGTCGAAACAGCGTCTGACAGCGTCGACTCTACTCTATACCCAAGAAACCACAATCGCTCAGCTGCGAAGCGAGTTTTGTTTTCCTGATCGCTTGGTTATTCTAAATGAAGATAGAATACTTTGACAAAAGTTTCCTCGAGATAAATGACCAAATGCCGTTCTAAGGTAAAGGAACCGTGTAGCTCTAGTATAACTTCAGCTAATACAATGCCTACCTCAGTTATAAATTCCCGAGTAGTCTTGATAGTTCGCTTGATTTGTCACGACGAAAAAGTCTACGAGGAAATCATATTTTGCAAAACAAGTAAGTATAAAAGTCAATTACATTTTCCTTCACATAATAACCAGACTTGCACAAAACGTACCTATCAGCAACAATCAATCTTCTACCAAGAAGAAATTAAACCTATGGGATTTTTCCCTTCCTTTAGCATTTAGTTCCATTTTGATCAAATTACGTCAACAAAAGTGACTTTAGTGCTTCGAGAAATAGCTGCCGAAATGCAGCCATCCATAAAAAATTGGAAAATAATAAAGCATTATGAGGAGTTAGCCTGAATTTTACACTGTTACTTCGAGTAGTTTTTACTCTTTCAGCTGAGGGAGTAAAAACCACTCGAAGCAATCGTCTGAAATTCTGGATAATGTGGGGTCAAATTATAATACGTTGTGGCTACATGCCCGAGCTATAAATTATGCCCGGTAGCCGGGAAGCAGCCTGTGTTGCAGCTGGTTCACGCACTCGTCTTATAAACCATTTGTATAGTCGGTCCGCGAATTAGTGCACAAAAACTCGTTCAAATATCCTGCAGAATTGCAAGGACATAATTATGTGAGCGTTTCTGATAGGCGGATTTCTTCCGAGTTTCTTATGCGCCTCACGATTGGCCTAGACTGTTCACAGTCCTCTATTTTTTCAGTAAGATCATCGAGATCCTCTGTCACAGGCAGTAAATAGTGTACTTCCATTAGAAGCATACCTGAAAATACAAACTCTTCATGTCAAAAATATTATTTTTTATACTTGGTCGTATTAACCAAATGAATTTATATGTGAACATCACTTTGACTCTTAATCGAGCAAATTCTTAAATAGATAAAATGTTGTTCATACTTGATTTTCCATAGTGGATCTTTCCCATGACATGTTCTTTCATACGTTCTTGAACCCCAGCTTCTGGGAAAAAGCTTGTCAAAAACTCCCCTCCAAACATGATGAGACCTAAAAGACATTGCAGAACAAGACAGGGAAAAATCATCATTTTTGATTACTTGGAATTTCTATACAAGGGGGTATACATACACACTGCCCAGCGCTGCTCACTCAATCCTCTGAACACTTTCCCCACACCTAAAGTAAAAGACCCTGATGAAGGGCAATTTTTGGAAATACTGCGATTTTAGATATTATTCGCATTATTTATTGTAAGCTATAGTCTCTCAAGCAACCGTTTTTGTCACGTCACACATTTTAGAACATGACGAAAAAAAAGCATACATGTATGGAAGGTTTCAGAATTAAAGCTGCATCACTGTATGAGACATTAAAAATACAACACCCAAGTTTTAATATTCTAATAATAATAATAATAATAATAACATCTACTTCTATAGCACCATTTCCATTGCTGTCCAATGGCACTTTACAACAACAATTATTACCTTTAAAAAAATTAAAAAATGAACTAATAACAGTGCATTGTATAAAAATTTTAAAATAAAATTGAGCTATGCGTTAAAATTTACAATAAATTATTGTTAAAATGAATAAAAACAGATAATATGAATAAAACCAAATAAAAGCCAATAAAAAGAAAATGTAGGAAATATGTTCCTAGGATGATCATAAATTAAAAGCCTTCTTAAAAAGATAAGTTTTAACTAAAAGACCTGATTTGTAAACTATAATTTATATAATATATTTTTTATTTTGGGGGAATGTTCATGTGAACATTTTCCACAATCAATATCCATTTACTGGAGGTTTCTTTTATCAATAATCCACTATAATCGATGATCTGGATACCACTAAATTCTACAACAATTTTGTTGCTGACAGCAAATCAAGTACAGCAGGCTCTTTACATAAAATACTGATCACAACATACCATGGGAGATACAATGTACACCAGTGGCATAACACTCGAGTTATAAAAATGAAAAACTTAAAACTCCAGAAAAATTATTCCACAAAAATAATAATAATCTTGCAGAGGTTGGAACCACCAAAGAGAATTTTCCATTTAATGGTAACAGCAAGACTTTCATCCAGACTCAAAAGCAAGAGCTTCAGGGTATTCATACATCATGACATTATGTCATTAACTAGCTCGAGGAGTAAACAGGGTGCAAAGAAAGTCAGTTTTACAGCTTCCCATTCGTGCAAGCTGCAACTAGCATGTACATTGTACCAGCCCAAGAGTAATGAGCAGGATTGATTACAGTTCTTCTGTAATGCGAATTTCCTAAAAGAAATTCATTTGCCAATAGGGTAAATAAAGAACAGAATTCACTAGCCAGATAACCGAAATCCTCTAGTCCCGGGCCATCGGACACGACTTTCTTTGCATACTGATAAAGGAGAACATAAGTAAATACTTGTTATACATACCAGTCGGCCATAAACAAGGATAGGGAAAGAGCACTTTTCACAAAGGCGGAGAAGTGGATCTTTTTGCCCAATCGGCAAAATCTGTGAGGAAGACAGGAGGACAAGCTAAACTATTTTGAAACCTATATGTCTTGTTTTTGTAACAAACTGATATGATAACAGAAACGTAAGAGCCTAAGTTATCTCATCTACATGTACAGGTACAGTCAACTCTCGCCTTGCGGACACCCCGCTATAACGGACACCCCGATAATACGGACAGCAGATAAATTCCGGGCAAAAATAAATTACAGATATTTGATTGAAATAAACTCCCGCTATTACGGACTCTCGCCACAGAGGACACTAACTTAAGGTCCCTACAGAGTCCGCTATAAAGGGAGTTGACTGTAGATGTATGGGCCTGCCAAAAATTAATGACTTAATTTTGGGGGCTACCATAAAGGAACTAATATATGTCCAAGGCATCTAGTTAATTCTAGGGGTCCAAGTGGGGGCGTTTAATAGTTAGGAGGCATTTAAAAGAGAGAGGTGTTTATTCTCATAACTGTAACAAGCTCAACAAAACTAACATGCTTTTGCAGGGCTCGAAATTTTGCAAGGTTGCCTTTTGGCGACCAACTGGAGAAATATAGTCACCAGATGCAAATATTTAGTGGACAGTTTGTATCACGTAAATGACGCAGCTCATAGTCAGGGCTTCTGATATTTTGCGCGGTCGCAGAGCGGCGAAATTCACAAAACCACGCAAAACACTGCAAACTTTGGTAGAAATCTTATCATTGTTTGTACAACATATGTAATATTTGAAACATTTCTCAGCTATTGGGGCTATTTGCTTGCCGTAAACTTGTAAATTTATCTTGAAACTTTGTCACTAAAATGTGCAAACAACGTCCTGAAACTACTAGGGGTAGATTATGTTGCAAAAAACTGGGCACTAGCCATGATGTTAAAGGCTTTGCCATTGTTTCAGTTCTGGAGCGTATAGTTGTTGAATGAGCAAAATTTAATGATCTCTGTTAGAAAAACATTAAAAACACTGGTCTATGGTCAGCGCAAAACTGATCAATCTCTAACAAAGTTTTCCCTGAAAATAACCACAAAATCGGCCTTTTTTTACTGATTGATTTTTGGCTAAGTTTGTTCCACAAATTCCCATGAAATCAGTCAATTTTTCTGCGAATTTCCCCTAAAAATCCCGTAAAATTTGACTTTTTCCACGACCTATCAGAAGCCCTGCATAGTATGGTGCAATCCATCACATTTGAAAATATCGTGGATAGAAGTCGGTATAAATTTGGAGGTAAACTGGCTTTGTTTATGCGATTTGGCACATTTTTTACGATGAAAGCAAACCAGGATAAGATGAAATGTTTGTTTTAATTTTACTAATTTAATTTAACCCATTCGCCCCTGAACCGCCCGTAACCGCCCGTGCGGATCCAGGTCCTTCTACCCTTTGTGACGTCATCAGTTTTAATGGTCAAGGACAACTTTCTTCGCTGACTTGTGCAGAGTGAAGAGATCTTTCAAACCATACCAGAATGAGCACAATTCAGTCAAGGACTCCGGAGAAAGAAGCAAAAAACCACGTGACCTTGACCTGAAATCTCCATGAAAATCTTCTTCCATTGCCCACCTACCTTTCCTTTCATCTAATCCTAAGATCCTAAAAGCTTTCTTAAAAACTCTTCCCACCAAAATGAAGCCTACTAAATGCCCAGCAAGAGAAAAAAAAAAAAAATGAGGCAAGAAAAGCGAAAAAAAAGGGAGGAGAGAAAGTGAAAAGTAATAATTTTGCTTTCTGCGCACAAGCCCGAACTTCGCAAGCTGATATTTTGCATCTGGATCAGAAGGCCGCGAAGTGTACGACCTGTAAACCGGTTTGTGGTAAGTTTTAGCTCTTTATAGCACGACAGTGACCAGAAAACCACTCGACTAGCTTCAAAACGCGTTTTTCGGCAAAATCTCCAGGAGAGAATGGGTTAAATCTAAGTCATAGAGAAATCTGGTCGCCACTTTGGCGACTAAACTAGAATTTTTAGTCGCCAAGGAGAAAATGTTAGTCGCATTGGCAACCTTATCAGTCGCAATTTTGAGCCGTGTTTCGGCAAAAATATCAAGAGAGTTTAAAAATGGTAGAATATCCACTTCATCAATATTGATACATCTAGGCCGTCTAGAGATCCATATCGTTCTTTTTCAAATCCCAACATCGATGTTAGAATCCATGTTCATTGTTTTTGCGTTGCCATCGTTAGTCTATCCTCATTTTTAACTTGACATTGAGCAAGATGAAATACGCATTTACCCTTGCTAATCAAGCAAGAAACTGAATGAATTGAATGATTTTGCACCTTTTTGCTAATTCCTAGTATTTTGGAGTAATTCTCATGGGGAACCGTCTATTTATTAGACAGGGGCCTTTATTAGAGAGGAGCGTCTAATAAAATTTTAACAATGTTGAGGGGGCCTTTATTTGGAAGTAGAGATTATTAGGCTGTTTATGGTAAACGACTTACAAAAATAATAGGGGCTGAGTGACTGGGGCTAAATGAGCATAAATTATAAAATTAATAGTACATACTTGATGATCCCACTTGAGTTCTCTCATGACAACCACTTGAGCTGCGGCAGCTGTTCCAGGGGATTTCTGTTTCCTTTTACTTTCCTTGTCACCTAATAGATATGACAAACAAAGAATAAAATAACTATCCAGGACTTCTAACAACTAAGAGGACCTTTAACAATCTAGCAAAATGTTTGCATGTGTAGTTTACTCGGTTTTACTTGAATCCTATGGTCTGAGAACTGCACAACATGTCATTACGACCTAACTGTACTCTATGGCCTCTACCTGAATAACTTTTACACAAATCCAGGCAAAACTAAATAATTAAATTTGATCAGGATTTGTGTAAACAAACAAACAACTGTTTTTCTATTTCATTACAAAAAATCATAGTTGTATAGCAGCTGGTACACATGAACAACAAATTCTTTTAAAAAATATAAGAAGTATTACTGAAAGGATAGAATTTTGTCACTTACAGTACAAAGTTAATTTATAGTACAACCGAAGGCAAGAATTAACATCCAAAAGAGCAATGTAACTCCATGCAAAAGCAGGTAGAGGCAGACCTACATCTTGAAGCCCAAACAGCCAGAGCTTAACCTAATATCTGTAGCATGAAGCATTTACACCACAGGAATATGGCTAACCTCTCTGGATGGGATGCTTGCTCATCACAGGACACCCTTGTTAACATTCAACTTAATAAATTTACTAGAGCTTCGGAAGTTTTCAAAAACAACTTGAAATTTATTTATGAGCCAAAATACAAGAGAACTCTCTGACAGATCAGTTAGTGACAAAAGGGTGAAAACAGTTAAGATGTAACAACAAAAAGACCATTCTTGAAAAACCTGTTTTTCCAGTTAAGTTTTTCCAGAAGGTTCAAGAAACATCTGGACAGTGGAACCTCAATTTAACGAAGGGCCAGGCGACTGGCAAAATGTGTTTGCCATATCAACGAGGTTTTTTCTCATATCTTTCTACGACTGGGGTAAAGAAAATCGTTTGTTATACCGAGGACTTTGTTATACAGAGGTTCATTATATCAAGGTTCCACTGTAATACTGATTGTCTCTTTTGAATAAACAAGCATTCACAGAAAAACTTGTCAATGTTGCTCATTTCCTCAAGCAGGGCTGTTGCTCAGATTTCAAGTTGCTGGTTATACTGTACATGTTTAAATGTACAATATGTAGGCAGGGAAATGAACAGCAACAAATTTCTGTTGCAGGGCTCAAAACAAGTCCCATCCAGTAGTCCTGGTCAGGTGGATTTTCTTGCCGGACAAGTAACTTTTAAGACTCACTTGCCCAATGAGGGTCAAGACAACTGATCCTTTAATAAAATCATTAACTAAGACAAGCAAGAGGTGGATCTAATTACTCAATAAGGGTAAAGACAACTGATCCTCTAATCCTCTAATAGAATCATTAACCGAGAAAAGCAAAAGGTGGCCATAAGCAAGCAAAATGTGAGAGCCGCTTGCTCCAAGGACAAGCTGGACTTCAAGATTTTTCAAGCACTGTATTGGTTCTATATTCTATATTCCATTTTCTTATGAAAGTAGCCAGGGGTCATGCTCATAGTAGCCAAAGGGAATCCACTGTATCAGGCTCTTATTGACAGAGATGCTCAAGAGTGTGTGTCTCTCAACAACCTTCACACAGCATGCCTCAGGTACACATTTGTGCACCTGGGTGAGGAGACAAAGTGGACTAACGTTCCTTGTCTAAGGAAACAACATGACAGCAAGGCTTAAAACCGGACATGCATTGTACAGCATTGAAAGAAAATTATTGGCTTCTTTACCTTCAGATCCTGTCCTAGACTTTTCTCCACTTTTTCCTTCCTTTTTCTTGCTTTTCCCAGATGACAATGAGCTTGCTGACTTGCTCTTTGCTTTCAGTTTTAAAGAAATGTTTCGCCTAACTGGCTGTGAGGTGGATCCTGGAGCTGCTCCCTCACGCTCCAATTCAAGATCTACCAAAACAACATTAAAAAACTAAAAGATTCGTTCTCTTTTTGAGTACGATGTATAGAGATCTTTTTGTCATGGATTTACCTGTATTTTTCCAGGCACTAAAAGAGATAATGTCTAGATCACTTTGTTAATATTATTTTTCTAATTACACTTGCTTATGTGCTCAGGAACTTTGCGTTAGTATAGGTAATAGCATGATTAGTGGTGATATTTGGCATAAATACCACAAGTGATATTTCAAAATTGTTATACGTAATTTCACGAGCCGGTAGGCGAGTGAAATTTGATACAATTTTGAAATATCACGAGTGGTATTTATGCCAAATATCACGTACAAATTATGCTATTATTTGTTTACACTACTACCAGCAAGAAGGTTTGTAATTTTCACATGTAGGTATTTCAAATTAAGCTGAAATACCACTGCTCCAAGCCAATCAAATTGCAGAAATTTTTTCATGAAGTGGTATAAACAAAGAAATAATTGTTTATTATACCAATGAGAGTTACAGCAAAAGCACCAAAATATAGGGGATATACAGAAAAAATACAGATACAGAGCACTAAGAACAGCTAGATTTAAGATACATCATAACGCACTGACAAGATACGCTGAGCAAAAAATTAACAAAGTAAAGGGATGCCAGATCAATTTGAAAAAGCAATGCAATTTAAAAGTACAATTAGTACAAATTAAATCTACGGTAGGTAAACCTATAAACCCCAAGGAAAACAAAAAAAGCTGCCACATGTAAACTGTTCAGTGTCAAGTACTGTGAAATTCACAACAAGCGGCTTATTAAGCGTCTAATGATCCCAATGGAAACTGAGCTAAACAACTGATCAACAACTAAAAAGAAATACATTTCATACTGTTAGAATTTTGAGAAAATTCGTCGACCAAAAGATGACATTTACAAAGGAAAAAAGTACATTTTTCATGGTCATTTTCTGAGAGTAATGGCAGAAATTCTCCTAGCACCTGAACCTAATTATAAATTGAAGTATTAAACCCTCAAAGATTAGATATGTAATACTAGTGAGATTAGTTGAAATCAGAAGAATAACTCATCGACATAGCGCTACAAACCAGACCAAATCACGAAAAAGCTGAAAATCAACGCTGCGTAGAGTTGCAAACGTTTCATTTTCGTGAAATAAATATGAAAAAAACTTAATAACATAAAGAAAACATGTTTTTAAAACTGAATAGCGCCAAATTAAGGATAAATTTAAGCAATAAGTCAGTGGGAAAAGCATGCTTACCGTCCTCCATCTTCCTTTAGCTTATGACCGCTGTGCAGCTTGTCTCTTGATTGAGCCTTCGAAACTGTTCCCCAGGCCTACTCCAGGATGAACTTTTCTCCCCACGTACCGATAACCCTGTATATTTTACATTGTACTCACTATCTGTCTTCTCATTGGCTAAGAGCCTATAGATAGTTTTGGAAATCAGCGCAACCTAGTCTACAGAACCTACAGATTAGTTAGTTATCTGCTAGCGGATACCTGACTAATCTGTAGATTGCGCGCGCAATGCATGATTTCCAATAACAATATCAATTCAGGTTCCTTAGCTTGCGACGACGGTGTTTGTCTTTTAGAAATACGCATCACTTCGCATTTATCAGTGTTAAATATCAATTGTCCCAATATTCCAAACGAGTAAGATCTTTCTGCCGAGTTCTTCAACATCTTCCTTAGTGTCCCTCATCCTAGACACCTTCATATCATCAGTAAAGAGTCTTGTGCACGACGTAATTCCTTGAGATATCGTCATGAAATCTGGGATTGTTTTTCTTTAGTTGAAAAGCATTTTTTTCAGTTAACTGTAATCAAATCAAATCATCAAAAGGTAGACAAAAAATCAAATTGAATTTACCTTTTGGCTTTCATATTTGAATTCCAATTTTGCACTATACTAACTATACTATACTAACCCTGGGTTATCTTCAGCTGAGCGAGCTGTGACAGGTTGAACCCCGGCCCGACAACCAGTCAGGGTCTCTGTTCCCATTTCTTGAATACGGATGTATTTCTCTTATTTCTTTCATTTTAATCATCTAATTGATCTATTTCTATTTCTTTCCCTTTGTTCTGTTTCTTTTTATTTCTTTCCTTTCTTATCATTTAAACATTTTTTAAAAAAAATATAGTTTTAACTAAAGGGAACCAGCCATCCGCATATTAATTTGCTCATGATACTTTCGCCTTAAAGCCTTTGATAGAATGATTTATTTTGGCGAGAACTAACTCTATCATTCTTCATTTGACATTAGTTGAGCAAACGTTTTAACGGAAGGTCTCAAAGATCGATTACATGTTAGTCTGTTCTTAATCACAAAGCCCATATCGCCCCATACTGTAAGGTGATCCAAGACAGTCATGGATGCTCAGGACTGGACTGGATTCTACGCTTTGGATTTCAGATTCCAGGTACTGGAATCAGGATTCCCTGTCAGTGGAATTATTGATACCAGAATTCCGGATTTTTATTAAACCTAAATTAGGGATTCCAAAGCTCAAGACTCCGGGGTGATTCCTAAAGCAAAAATTTCCCTGATTCCGGATGATTAAAGACTGCGAGCAGTCTCTCTTTTCCTTCCGATTTAGTGAGGGAAGTACACGCGGGCAAGAGATGCAAGAAAAGAGGCGAGAAACGCGAATATCCTGTCTCGCGCCTTCAGTCACGCGCGTGGTCATTTGCGTGCCTCGCGCGTTTTGCTCGACAGACTGAGAAAAAAGAGAGACTGCTCGTATTCTAGGATGATTACCATACATGGGGTGCCGAATTCATAAAGTGGTGACTCATGGAGGGAAGAAAGGGAAGGGATCAGCACGAAGAAGGGAACGGAGACTCACACTCTCCTTAGCCTGCGTAGCTGGCGATTTAGCGGCAGATGCTGTACTTTTTTGGCGGCCGAGCCACGTGAAGATTGGGGGCAAGTCAAGGAGGGATTTTCACCTTTCTCCCTCGCGGTTTCGCCACTCGCTTCGAGTGGCGGCTTTCCGTCTAGAAACTACCCCAGGCGCAATAATCCCGCCAGCTACACAGGCTACACTCTCCTTCACGCCACTCCATACTTTTAAGTGCCTGGGATAGTAATGAGCTAATGAGATGCAACTGTGAGCATCATCGCACACTAAGGTGATCAAGCGTAACTCAGTTCGATCAGCGACCACAGCTTGGTTTAACACAGTGAAGGGCACTATACACCTATGGAAGAAACAGAGCTTTACTTTGCTTTTGGGTCAAATCTGAGCGCAAGAAAAACGCTGGAACGCGGCACTAGGTTCATCTCTCGCGAAAGCGCAGTGCTTCGAGGATTTCGCGTCGTATTTAGCATATGGAAAGACGATGGCTTTGGTTATGATAATATTATCCCACATAAGGAGTTTAACCAAGTTAGATGAACACGAAGCAGGGAACCTTCGGATAGTGAACGTACAGGTGGAACGAAAAAGCGGCGAAATCCTGGATGCGACAGCGTATCAAGCTTATGAAGAGTATGTTAAAGAGGAGCTAAAACCGAGCCAAATTTATCTCAATGAAATACTTGAAGGAGAGGATCTTATTCCTAAAGAATATGCTGACTACTTTCGAAACTTCTTGCATGACAAAACTGAGAAGCAAAGACGGACGAAATCTTTTTAATTCAGTCAACAATCATTGATAGAAAACTCAAGAGAACATCGAGCTTTGAAGTTTATCCGTGTAATGGATTGACTTATGAATGTATTTAAATTGCAAGATTTTATTCCGGTTTATGTTTTGAGAGGTGAGTTGCTGGGGGTTAGTTGGTCAGTCAGGGAAGGACTATTAGAAAAGTAATGGGGGGCGTGGTGGGGTTGTTTTGCCTCGCAAGAATTTTTTCTGCCCGATTGCCTGTAGAGGAACTTTTTTGGAGTGCAACCCTTTCTAGGAATTGTTGGGCATTAAATTAATTGAAAATGGCGTTGCTTTGTTTTATTACAGAGGTTGTATTTTCAACGTGACTTTCACGAGAATGCCTCAATACCGAGCCACGACTCGGGCCAGGACTCCAGCTAGGACTTTTCTATTTTTTTCTGTAGGCAAAAAGAGAATAACTAAAAATAATAAATAAACAAATAAAACCTACCCTAACCTAACCTAACCTAACCCTAACCCTCCCTTCCAAGATTGCCACGAGAACCCTCCTCTAAATGGTTATGTGACTTGCAGGAGGTGAAAATGGCGGGAAAGCGAAAAATTGTCGAGTCCTGCCTCGAGCGTCGAGTCATGGCTTTGATGTTAGTTTAACTGTGCAAAAATGTGTGCTGCACGTGAATTTTTTTTTTGTTTGCTAATTAGATCTACTGATTTTGTTGCCGTTCTGCCATAAGAAGTGATCTTAAACACCAGCACAGAAAAAATTCTTTCCTTGATTCAAGAATTCCTAGCAACAGTCTTTTAAACTTGTCACGTGCTCAATTTCCAGTATCGGAATATTAAATTGGATTGGATCTTTGGATCCTGAAGTAAAACCTTGGATCCGGAGTAATAACTTTGGATCCCTGGCAAGAACTTTGGATCTCAGAAATAAAAACCTTGGATCCAACTGAAAAAAACTGTGGGGTCGGGGAAAACAGCTATGCCGGATAATGAAATCCATGTTGGTTGGATGAAAACTTTGGATCCGAAATAAAATCTCTATTTTATTGCACTTTTTTTTACTTTGCTTAGAATGGTATTTCAGAACAATTCAGACCCATACTGAAGTAACTCCTGATTAGATCTTCTCTCTCCGCTATTCCATGATGCAAATCACCACCCACCGATATAAGGCGGCAGGACGGCGCTTGATAAATGAATCAACGCAAAAAGCAAAGAGACTTGCAGCAGATCAAAACACATGTGCGCCATTTTTGTATATTACTTTCTTGATCTTCGACGTTTCAAAAGTTATCGCGCGATAAATTTCTCAGTCAAAGAAAACTTTATCGCGCGCCCGAGCTGTCTCAGACAAAGTAAATTTTAT